CCGGAGGACCTCGCCGCCGAGATCCAACACATCGACGGCCAGGCCGAGTGCATCATCATCTTCACCGCGGCTCCGCCGTGTCAAGACTTCTCACGAGTCGGCGATCGTGACGGGCACGCCGGGAACAGAGGCTACCTTTTCAACTTCACGGCGGAGTTCCTCGACGAGTTGCGTCGCCGGCTGGCGCCGCGCAGATTTGGGTTCCTGGTGGAGAATGTCGAGATGACGCCGGCCGACGCGGCAGAGGCTTCTAAGCAGCTCGGTTGCCAGCCGGTTTTCGCCGACGCCGCGGACTTTGGGTGGATCGGCCGGCCGCGGCTCTGGTGGTCGTCGGTAGATTGGGACGAGATCACCCACGACCCATCCACGGCGGAACGCTGGACGTGGGTGCTGCATCGTCGATGGGACCGCCTTCGACTAGACTCGCCGAGGGCAGCGCCGGACAGCTTCGACCTCGACGGCCTCAAGTTCTCCGACGCCGTGGCCTCTGGTCGCATTCGACTGCCGTGCTCTACTACGCCGGCGGCCGATGAGAGAGGGAGACCACCGCCGAGATCCATGCGAGGCAAGGTCACGACGGAGGTTCAGCAGAGGTGGCTCCAGGACAGCCGCCAGTTCGCGCCGTGGCACTACCAGCGCGACGCCATGCTCGCCGATGACCAGGGGAAGCTGGTGGTGCTAACGCCGAGCGCCAAGGAGCAGCTCCACCACATGCCGCAGAACTTCACGGCGGTGACGGCGCAAGGCGAGCTCGAGCCCAGAACCCGCCATCGCCTGTTGGGAAATGGCTGGCACTGGGGCGTCGCACGACGCTTTCTGCTGGCGGTTTTGGTCCATGCGGCCGCGTCGCTCCCAACGACGGCGGCGATACCGACGGCACCGCCGACCTCGACTATCCAGTGGGTCGCCGCGCTTTGGGGGCCAGCCGGTCCGCCCATGGGCCCGGCGCCGGCCAAGCCCACTATGGCGGCGCTTCAGGAGCTCGACGAAGAGGCGCATTGGCAGGCGTCGTGGGCGTTGGAACACCCTCTCGCCAAGCCGCCGCCGCTGGAACCGGCATGGGAACTTTTGCTGGAACTGCGACGCCGATGGCGCCACGACTTAGTTCGAATACGCCGGGAGGTCCTCGCCGAGGTGCACATCCTCATCGACGACCTCGA